CAGCCCTTCCCTACCGAGTCGCCTGCATGCATCACTGTCGTTTTGCATTGGAGTCAATTCTGGTTAGCTGAAAAGTGGGCTCTTTGTTTAAGCGGATGAAGAAATGAATGGATGCGGCACTATTTTGTCTGTCACTTCACAGCCTTTTGTCTCTTCATTTGACAAATTTTATCCCTAATTTTAGGTTCCAGATGCTGAATGCAAGGCTGACCATTTTTTCTCTCCATTCATTTCAGGCCTCAGAAAACTTGGTGGCTGTTTCTCCTTCATCCCAAAAAAGAGTCAGCAAATCTATGTACTGGCCTTGCCTGAACAGATGCATTTCAGATGTATTGGACTACGGCTCCCATGACTCCCAGACATTACTCTCCAGAAGGCCCCTGGTTGGGCAAGTCACCTGGATACGGTGTTTATCTCATCTAGGTCCTCTCCATGAAGTTCTTGCTTCCCAGATTGTTCAGCAAGTATGGTGCTTGTTTGAATACTGGCTTTAATTTTAATTGGTTTTAACAGTGGGCAGAACAGTTTAACTAGCCTTTCTACTAAAGCTGGATGGGGGAGCTCATGGAAAGAGTTGAATCCAAACTGGAACCTCCCTTTGGAGAGACCAAAGCGTCAGCAGCAGGATAAGAAGTGGCACACAAGGGGACCGATGAAATGCCTGCAGCAAGGGGAGGGCCTCCCTCCGGCACCTCTGTGTATGCAGGGAAGGTGCCAGGCGGCCCTCCCTGGGGAGAGCATGCCACAGATGGTGGGGAGGGGGACTTTGCAGAAGGCGCGCTCCCTGGGAGCCACCCATCACATCCTTGTGGTGAAAGAACTCAGGAAAGAACACCAGCTCAAGCAAGGGCAAGACTGGCCAGACGTTAGCAGCACCAGCAAGTTTCTTTGTCAGAGCTGCTATAACCCACCAGCTCCTGAACCAGGACGGGCAAAGTGGACTGCAGGCCTGCACTGCCTTCGTTCACAGCTCAAGCTCCATGGAGCCTGTGCCAACCCTTGGCGGCCTCGGCTTCCTTTTGATTCTCGGTTCTGAAGGCATGTAGGCAGACGTTTCAGAAGCTGGCCTGAACGATTCATCGATTCCCATTCAGTCACAGGAACAAAAAGCTGCAGAGGTTAATTTACATGCAGAGGTGAAGATTCTAACATAATGCAGTAGAAACCGAGAGACGGTGCCCCTCACCTGAGCGGCTACTTGTGTGGCTGCAGGGCCTCTTACCGAAGACCTCTGGGGGTTGAAGTTCTTGGAAGGGCCCGTTCTTCACTAAAAGGAGCTGCCAGCATCTCCCACAAAAACGGCGGGTCCCGGGGCTGGAAGACAAAAGTCGTGGAATGCATCCACAAGGATGACACTTCCCTGGGAGCCCCAGAGGGCCTGGTCCCTGGCTGAAGGTTCTGCGCAGCTGCTCTACAGGCACCCTGGTCCTCCCACCGCTTTGAATCCTGAGCCGTCCTTTGCCTTATCGCAATTACCGGTATTGTTGCAGCTCTGCTGAGTCCTCTGGCTTGAAGGAGGACAGGCTGCACAACTAGGAGGGTTGTGGATGGAGGACGTGACGGCGAGATGGAAAGGAAGGTAGGACACTCCTCTCTTTAGATGCTTCTCCAGAAGGGCGGATGGGAGCAACATGGGAAGCTGCCTCGTCCTGTGCCAGCCACTGGTCCGCCTGGTGCAGCACCATCTTCTCTGAGAGGCAATGGCTCTTCAGGTGAGCGATGCCAAGGGCTGGGCGCAGGGGGACAATCACGGCGTATGGTCCCACCTCTTGGCCTGATCCAGCAGGATTCTTCTTACGTGCCTGTGTCTGAAGCCTGGTGATACTCAGTGAGCCATTGGTGGACATCTTGAGATCACAAGCAACCTGTTATGGCTGAAATGCCCTGTAATTCCACCTCGCTCGGTTTCTGATGACTTGGAGGAAGCAAGTTCTCTTCATTGTGCAAGCTAACAAGGTGCGTCAAGATGGTTGCCTGTCCGTCTGTCTATTGTCTCCTCTGCCTACCATCTCCTCTGCCATCCGATGCATCATGGATCTAACTATCAATATCTATCTGCCTATCATGTCTATCATCTTATCAATCATATCTATCATTTATCTAGCTATCAACCATCTATCATCTTACTGATTTTCTCATTGAAATATATTTTACATGTCTATCATCTTATAAATCTATCATCTGATTGGTCCCTCATCCAATCATTTTATCAGTCCTCTATCCAGCTATCAATCATCTATCACTCAACTTCTCATCTCATATAACTTCAGTCTATCATGTTATTTGTCTCATGTATCATCCTATCTGTCTATCATCTTATCTAACCACCTACAAATCAAACAAACGGATTATAGGGATGAGCAAATAACCACATCGCTCTTTCTAGTAATTTGTTTCATCTTTCTCTCATACCAGCAAGCCTTGGGCAAACACATTAGCTTTCAGATCTCTTCCTTTTGCTTACAAGCTCGACAACCCCCCCCCGCCCCTCCCCTGCTCAAAGTGCCACTTATAGGTATTGCCTGATAATGTTTCTATGGACTGAAAATGAACAATTAATGCAACATTCCTTAATGCAACATTTTGAAGTAGCTTTATTTTTTCCAGTGCTTTGCCAAGGAAGAAAAGCGTTTCAGGAGAGGTTTAAATAGCATCAAAGTTATTTCAGGGAAAGATTGGCTGAAGCAGTTGCCTGAATCGCACGCCTGGATCTGGGAAGAAGATCCTTCAAAAGCTCCCACAGAAGTGTTCACTGCAGAAGAGCCGCCTCGGCCCCTTCTGCTGATCTTATATTTAAGACTAAGCAATAGCAGCTACATCCGTGAAGTCAAAAACCAGCATCCTGCGCCTGCTGTTGCCTGTCACAGGCCGCCAACTAGAGCAATCAGAAAACAAGCACCTGGGGTCTGCCAGCCCCCTCCCTTAATGCACACCACAATTGTGGCATTGTTTCTTTCCTCTGTCACCTGTCAGCAACTGATAAAATCATCCAGTGAGGGGTATGACCTTGGGGAGAAAACAGTGAGTCGATAGCAAGCTGCAATCCCAGCCAAAAGTTGCCCAAACGATAAAATCCCTGTTCAGGAGTTGTTGTAGTTGCGTGTTGCCATGTCGTCTCTGACTTAGGGGAACCCCATGGATGGAAGTCCTCTGGAATGTCCTATCCATGCCAGCCCTGCTCAGCCTTCCTAAATTCAAGGTTGTGGCTTCCTTTACGGCGTCGATCCATCTCATATTTGGCCTTCCTTTTCTTGTGCTGCTTTTGACTGCTTTTGAGCAGCGTCGGTCTGTTCTGTTAAATATTGTATTGACGAAATAGCAGCTGCATGGATAGAGTCACACAAGACTAGAGTCCAGGAGTCACACACTGTCACATCTCGCAGGTTGCCTCAGGAGCAGAGATGTGAAACGCCGCAAAATCAGCTTGCCGACGTTCTCCGGCTTAATTGTGAAGCTTGTTCCAACTTAAGGCCTTCTTGGATTACAAGCTTTGTTAATTTTTCTTGCATGAAAACCTACACTTGTTTTCAGGCTTCTTTTCCAAATGTGTGCCTCGGTTGTGTGCATCTTGGACTTGGATGCATTTTTCTCCCATTGATTAAACCACATTTTGGCAAAAGTCCCCATCTTTTCATGCAGTTTCCAAATGTATGTATGGTGTAGAATGCATTTTGGGTAGTCTGGGAGTCAAACTGCAAGGTCATAAATGTTGCAAACTGCATCCGAATCTGTGTTAGGTTCAGAAATGGGTAAGTCTGGATGGAAAATGAATTTCTCATGCATCCGTACTCATGGGGGAATTGCTTCAATAGCAACAATAAACTGCAGGGCGATGCAGTGACCCGGAGAATCAGAGACCGCTGAGCCATACAGCCAGGTCTGCGATGGCTGAGCAGCCTTTGGAAGCTGTGTGACAATTGCTGCAAACAAGAATTACAAATCAGGAACAGATAGGCTTTCTCAGCTATGAGAGGACAGTAACTCTCAAGACCAACTCCTAGCTTGTATCATGGGAAGAGTGTCTTAAGTTGGCTTGGAAGAGATGAGGATAGAAGACAAGCCCTGTGGGGCTGAACCAAGAGTCCACCTAGTCCAGCATGGCATTTACCAAATAGGCAACCGACTGCTCATGGGCAGGAGCTGAATGGAACAGCACTCTCCCACCCACATTCCCCAGCATTGCTGTTCATAAACCTACTGGTTATAATACGTAGTCATCAGGACTTGTAGCTTTGCATCGTCTTCTCCTCCAATCACCCCTCAAAGACTTCCAAAGTGGTGGCCGTCACCCCATTGTGCGGAAGGGAATCCCACAATTTGTGTCTGTGAAGAAGAACCTCTTTCAATTCGTTCAGAATCTCCCACCAATCAGCTTCATGGGAGGACCTCATGAGGTCCTAACGTTATGGGAGGGGGCAGAAATGTCCCTTTCCATTGTTTCTGCACCAGAATGTAACCTGCAGTAGAAAAGAATCACCGGGGACAGTAGAAACATCGGAGAGCACTTGAAACATCGGAGTCAGCCGGGGGTCAGACTAGATGGCCTGGGAGACCCCTTCTGACTCGCTCTGTTTCTATGTTTATCAGCCCAATGGTCCATCTTGTTCCCTACTGTCTACACTGCGAAGAGTAGGATCCCTGTATGTTATTGGACTCCAACTTCCAACATGTGGCCAGCTCTCTCAGTGGCCAAGGATGATGGAACTTGGAGTCCAATGGCACTGGTAGGCTTCCCATCAGTTTTAAACTAGATGGGCTGGCAAAGTCAGTGACATGATTTTAACTCAATGAACCATCTCGCGATCCCTTGCAGAGGCTTCCAACCAGTGAGGGCACCATCAAAGCGGGCTTGGTTTGTTTTCCAGAAACGATCAAGCACTTGCTCTGAATTCCTGCAGAAGTCATCAGAAAACATCCCACTGATTTAAATGGATCAGGATGTTACTCCTAAAAGCAAATATAATATGAATATGGAAGGAAAACAGAAGGGAAGCCATATCTCTTAAACATAAAAATGGCATTTATTCTCGCAATTGCAAACCAGCATATTTTTGTTTGTTTGGCCAGATTATAACAAAATTGTCAAAGAATATTTTTCTCAAAAGAAATATTAATACAAGGAAGTATCTTAGAAAATTATATATACATAAAATTTAAAATTATATAACAGAACATGGGTTAAAATAACACTTTGTTTATAGATGCAGATCCCACTACAGTATATACATATGTTATCTGAGAATTAATACTATATTTCTTATGCTTAAAGCTTCAAACAAACAAAGAAACCTTCTCTCCTGGCCTGGTCCTAGGTATAAAAGTACCAGTTACTTCCCGTATTGAGGATATTACAAAGGAGTAGATAAGTTGCACCTTAGGAGTTTTCAGTCATTTAATTACATTCAGAGCTATCTGAATTTCCCATTTTCAGTTATTCAATATTCACTGGAGAAAAATGAATGTCAGCAAATTATTACCGAATGACTGATACATCTATCCTGGCAGTGCAATGCACAGAAGAATTGATTATACACAGACTGAGACATGCAGGGAAAAAGCAACTTTATGCAAATAGAGATAAGATTTCTCTTTTCATAGCAGTAGGAAGAACGTTCCAGTCAATTATTAAGAGCAGGACAGAGCAATAAAAAAAAAGGCCATATGACTACAGAAATGTTGCAATATATTTCCCGCAGCTTCTGGGAAACAAACTGCAGACTTAGCAATTCCACTTAGCCCTTATTAATCGGAACACACAGATGGGTTCATCCGTGGCTGCGGACCAGGTGCAGAAGAACTCCAGAGATCAGTGCAGGGATGGAGGAGGAAGGAGAGGGGCAGAGATGCTGGGGCAGCAGGCTCTGGGCGTCAGTGTCACCGCTGATCGCTGGAGGGCAATGCCCGGGACCCCTGGGCAGCAGCCCTCCAGCGCACCAGAGCCTGGGACCCGCACGCTCCTCAAGAGGAGTTCCATGCACCAGGGAGCAGTGCACCAGCGCCAGCGCCCCAAGAGGGAGCTCAAGGCATCCGAGGCGTGATGGAGGCCCCAGTGTGCTCAGAGACGCGTGCTCGGGGCACCCTCCTTGCTGCTGCGCAACCAGGCCTGCCCTGTGCCTCACGGGCTGCTCCCCAGGACCGGAACAGGATGGGACTGTCCTATGGGGGCTGATGCCCCCTGCAGACCTGCCCTTCTGGCACGGTGACACCTGTCCCTTGAAGTGGGAAGGGCACATTGCAAAGGCCAACAGGGCTTTCTCCTGGCCAGCTAGGAAAAAACCCCGTGCAGTTCTAAAGAAGCAGCAGTGGCAGCGGCACCATGAGCATTGCTCAACATATACAAACATCTTTGCACACCTCCTGGGCAAGGAGAAATGGAATCAGTGGAAAGAAAAACAGCGCCCATGAGTCATCCTCTCTTTGGCACTGTATCAGCTATGCCCGAATAAAGTTGCAAAGCAGCCTTCTTCAACCTGATGCTTTCTAGGTGTGTGGGACTACGACTCCCATCACCCAGCAGGCATGGCCATGTTTGAAAGGCACCAAGGTTTGGAAGGCTCTGCTAAATGGTCCCCTCTGCTCAAAAGCAGCCAAAATGAATGAGAGATAAAAAGCAATATAGCCAGAGTTGTGCATATCAGTAAGATGTTGTGTAGTGGTTAGTGTTAAACTGAGACTTGCAGGGATTGGGATCTGGTTCCCATTCAGCCATGGAGCTCACTGAAACATCGCACGAGCGGAACCCACAGGGGCGTCCCTTCCAGTGCAGCGCAAGATGAGACAGGATAGGGATGGCCTGTATTTAATGGCAGCCGTAAAGAGCAGGCCTTTCCAGATGAACAGAGCTTAACTTAGACTAAGCTAGAGAGAACCCCAAGCAAGCCTGCTGTAGTGAGACACCCTTGTGGCATCTTAACAACTAGCACAGCTACTTGTGTTCCGAGTCCCCTTCACTGGATTGCTGGGAATGCCAGAACAATCCTCTTAGCACCAATGCCTGCTCCTTGAGAACAGCCACTCCTTGAGATGGCCACAGACCATGCGTCATGCAGTTCCGTGCCATTTAATGCTTCTGCCTGCAAGCTTTCCCTCTCTCTCCATCTTGTCTCTCCTGGCCACCTGAGAATCAGGGTTTATACACCTGACAAAGTGGACTGTGTCAATGGTGGGCAGAAGAAGACCAGGATCTGCTGGAAAATTTCTGGCTGATCTGCAGGAAAGCGGGAAGGATTTGTTGAGGACAGCCAGGTGGGTTCTCCCCATTTCCCTGTCTCGGATCTGAATCAACACAGAGCTAGGCCGGTACTTGCATATGCAGGTCAGCTCTGGATGAGCTCACTGGGTGCAGAAGGCTGCTGAGTCCCCGTGCCGTCCCTGGCATCACCTTCACCCCACGAGGAAATGCACTGACAACAGTGCCTGGAGCAAGGGTGCTCAAAAAATCGGAGCTGACACGGCTTTAAAAAAAAGGTAAAAGAAAAATAAAAGATTCCACAAACCTAGCAGGCAGGAAAATTTAGGCCAAAATAAATTGCTCATTCTGGAAGGTCCTACAAGACTCTGTTGTTTCTGCTATAAAAGAAAGCATTAAAATTCTGACAGTGTTATATGGGCCGTTGAAATGTTATGCCTTAGTTGAAACATTTACAACCAGCCAAACAGTTGCAAGTTCATTTACAAAAAGCAACCCCCTCTCCACACACACACACACACACACACACACACACACTACTGAGCGCAGGGATGATTTGGTTCTCAAGACCATTCAACCAGAAATGTGGGTTCAGCAAAGGCTTCCAAACCAGACTCAAAGGTATCACAGTGGATCAGGAAGGAAATAACGGAACTCTTAGTGGATTAAGATGGTTAAACTCAGACTGCCACATTCCTCCAGGCTCTGAAACCATGTCAGAAATTCAGAAGAAACCTGTCTTTTAGAGAAACTAAGATATTCAGAGCATGCAAGGAAGCTCTCCCTGTGTTCAGACATATACTCTACTCCTCTTAAAATGCTGATTTTCAGAATTTCAGGATCTGCTCTCCCTGTGTGTTCACACCTGAAATGCTTTCAAGTGGCTTTCACTTCTGACATCATTAATATGATGAGACAAGGAACTTCTCATTACCAGCTCAGCCTCTGCCGATTCCAAGTCCCCATTTATTACCGCTGCATTGAGCCAGTCAAGGCTAGTCCTTAATACGTTCCTATTCATTTCGTTTGACAGCTAACAACTAAACATCTTTTCCGATACAATGAAGCATTCGTTTCATGACAGCAAATTGAACCTTTGCATACGGGTTTCCACCGTGAGCCAAATCTCAGATTTACTGCCGTTGTGTCTTATCCGTCAATGGCTTACCGCTCATTAAACACCGTCACCGTGTTTTATGGCCAACGGTCTCTTTCTGAAATGGAGGCAATTTGTTTAGTGCAGTCCTTCCGGCAATATGCCATGCAAACAGGGAGAGACTTAGGAATTATTACTCCTCCCTTTTTAACAAGATTGGACGTTATGGGCATATTTTGCATTAAGCCTTCTGTATATTTCATGGTGTGGTCTTGGATAAATTTAGATGTTGGAAGTTTGGCTTAAGAATAGCATTAAGTCAATATGTAGTGCAACCTGATAGCTCTTAATGTGCAGGGCTGCAGAAATACACCCGTTCCAAAGGTGATGAGAAATAGGGCCCATTGCAGGCAACTCGGTTTTGGCCTCTGCTTCTGATATACCTGACCCCTTGCTTATACACTCGTGCATTTTTTTTTTAAAGAAGAATTTGCTATGTTGCTTTTTTAAAAACAGTTATTGCTCTATCTTCAAAATGTTGTTATTAAAAGGGAACACAGAGAGCAGGTCTTTGGCTTTTCAACTAGTGGGAGGTTTGATCATATGCTTGTGTAGAAGACAAATCCTACAGTGAACAACACGTCATGAATGGAGCCAGGGGTCAGACTAGATGGCCCGGGAGTCTCCTTCTGACTTGCTCTATGTTTCTAACTGGGCTTACTCCCAAGGAAGTGTGCACAAGATTCCACACTTATGGGCAAGGGCATGAAGATGAGCTCCGTGGAACCTCATTTACTGCAGAGCCAAATTGGCTTCCCCCGCATCATTTCCTGCAGAGAGCCCAGCCTGGATACAGAGGAGGCATGTTCCAGAAATCCAAGACTGCCCCACACCAGAACCTCCGACAAATGGGGGATGATCATAAGCAGCAGCATCTGGCCAGATTTCAAGAAGGTGCCCTGCAGTCTTTAGAGTCTGAGATGATTCCATGAAAGGAAGAGAGACTAGAGAAGCCGGCTGCTGGTAAGAATGTAAGAACCTTCTTCTACATGCCAGACAAGATCCATTAGCATGTCTTTGTTCATTGACCATAATGCGCAGTAACTAGCTTTGATGATCTCCACGGCCATCACTGATCTTCAAGTTCCCTTAGAATTTGGAAACATTTGCATTACACTTCAGGCATGGCTTTCAAGAGAACAGTAATGGCGATTTCCCAGAATGAATTCTCTGGCCAGTGGGGAAGAAGGCTTGGCTGGTTACGCTCTAAGACACTGTTTCTGGAAGTCCTAGATGCTTGATGTGTTTGTTCTTTCAACATTTAAACATAATTGGAGCCTTACTGGGTTGGACCAAAGTTGCATCTGGTTTTGCATTTTATTTTCCAGTGGCCAACACAATGATTCTGGGAAATATGCAAACAGGGACCTTGGCTCTGTTTGGCAGAATAGGTGCAACTTCCTGCAGATAGCAGATCGTGTCTATTCAGTCCAAATATTGTATATATAATGCCTAGTCATTCTTTCCTACACAGAATGTAACGTTCCAGGGACTACAGTATGCAGTTCTGGGTGGTACATTTCAGCATGTTGACAAACTGGAAGGAAGTTTTGAGTAAAACTTAGGCTAAAGGAGGTGGTGGGATTCTCCTTCACTGCAGCCTTGAAGCAGAGGCTGGACAGTCATTTGCCAAGGATGCAGTAGTTACGTCTAAGACGCCAACTAGATTAGGGTTGAGACGAACCCTTTTGGGATCCACCACTCCAGAATCGGCGGACTTCCTCTTGTGCTCAGCCCAGTCCGAGACAAGAGGAAGTCCAGAGACACTTGTGGATCCCCAGCCGTGCAATCAACAAGCTTCCCCACCGAAAGCAGCCTGTAGAATGCAAACTAGGGAAGCTGCGCGTGGGTGTGCTGGCCGCCATTTCTGGCAGCCAAACTCCTTCCTCACTTGCAGCCGCTGGGAAGGGTGGTTCGGTTCCTGGTGGGTTCCCTGGGCACACTGGCCAGGCACTTGGGCTCTGAAACCGGGGAATCCACTGAATTTTCCACACAAACTGGATTCCTTGCACATATGTAGACTGGGACCAAGGTCCCAGGTCAATTTCAATTCTGAAAGGAAAAAAAAAGGAACTTGATAACTGTAGCATGTTAAGATTTCATTTCACAGAAGGCAATACTTTTTCTGTTCACTGTGTGCTTCCTCTGTGAAAGGCTTTTGTTAGCATCGAGAAATTTATTTTCAAGGTTCTGCTGGGCACCCCTCTCCCCAGTTCGCAGCATGGAAACATGTGCTGGGAAGGAGAGGGGACCCATACCATTGTTTTGGTTTGTGAGATACTGGATTCAGAGCCGGCACCATGGCAAGGTGTGTGCTTATGGTGTGAGGCCGCAATTTTAATCACTGAGGTCAGAGTTCCCTTAAGAAAGGATTTTGCCAAGCAAAAGTCCAGCCCACAAACTTTGGCTGAAGAGATACAGCCCTGCCTGTCAACTTAGAATCTAAGCCCCTTCCCTCTTCACTCACACACACACACTCCCTTCCAAATAAACGCATATATGTCACATCTTATTGTGCGGCACAGCTCAACACTAATGGCCCAAAGCGTGTGGTCCATCCCATTCTCGTGTCTGAAACGGCTATCGAAAACTGGGGACTTGTGTGACCTGCACGTGGTACGTTCCACCGTCTCTGAGGCCCGCCGGGGCTGCTCCCGCCGACCAGCAAACGAGGATTCCCATCCGGGCCAGAAGGATTAGTGCCACAGAGGGAGAGCTGCTCCACGTCATCCCTGCCCCGTGAAGCCACGTTTCTGCATGCTGGGAAGTTTTAATAATACTGCTGCCACTTGGAGAGGGAGGGAAATGCAAAGAAGCCTGGGTAGAAAAACAGCTCTGGGAAAGGAGCTTTACCTTTGCAGGAGAGAGAGCGAAGTTGAGAATGAGACAGCAGGACAACGAGCACAAGTTTACAACAGCCGTAGGAGACAAAAGCTGCCCTGCCAAAACTGAGTGGCCTGATTTGTTCTCGATAAAATGCACCAGCGAGTCAAGTTAAACTTATAAAAGAAAGGAAGAGCACAGCTAAGCATGTAGTGTCCTCCAGAGGCCTGGGACTACAACATCCAGAATGCCAACTGCCTATGCTGGCTGGGGATGATGAAAGCTGTAGTCTGTATCATCAGGAAGGCACTCTGAGCTTAGGGGTCCCTTGGTCACCTATGGCAGTGCAAGGGATGGGCCCGAGGAAGTGCATTCCAGGGAGCCCATACTGGAATTCCCACTGGACGTTAACCATCACCTCTCCCAGGTATCTTTCTGGCTGACTTTGCTGCGTCCTTGCCAGGAAATGCTTAGGTGACGGGGCATGAGTGAATGGGGCCCTTCCATGAGGCAGGCCATGGCTTTGTCACTTTGTGAGTCTTCAGAGAGAGCCCCAGAGCGACTGGCCCCCAGCAATCGCTCCTCTGGGTGCTGCGCATGCATCCCCACACGTGCCGCCAAGTGCAGGCACCCAGCTGGAAGGCAATCTGATGCTTCGCAAATGCGCCCGCCCACACCGGATGGTTTCCTTCGAGTTCAAATATTGCCGAGAGCAAAAGAAGCATGGAGCTGCAAACCTTAGTTCAGCCCAAAGCACAACCTTTTGCCTGGGAATCCACAGCACTTGGATTTGCTCTCCTCTTGAGAAGCGATCTTGGAAGATCTGAGCAGAAACACACATCCCGTCTGTCCGTTTTTGGTAGTGAAAAGGAACACTGGGTGCAACCTGGTGCATATCTAGACTGGGAAAAAGAGTCCTACAACCGTTGCGGGACCTTTTTCTGCTTTGGCACCCACGGCATCGTGCCCTCCGTTGCTCAGTGTGAGGGTGGGTTACAATAAATAGAAGGCAAACCATCCTACTGAAATTGGTGGTGGAAAAAAACATTCTGCCCATCCCATTATTGTCAGGAAGGAGTAAGAATTCAGAATACAGAGGGAATTGCATCAAAACCATAGAAGGCCTAGAATATGATTGAGAGGGTAGAGCGTAGCTGTTTCTCAAACCAACAACAATACAAGCTCTTTTCCTAGTTCGCGAAAAACCCTAGGTCACAAGGCCTCTGATTATTTTGGGGAATGGCTGCTACTTCAAAAGCAACCTGATTAATCAAAATAAAGACGCCTTCTGCTTCTGACGCAACATGGTTGGGCTTGCTTGTGTTTCTGTGTTTTCCTCCCACTGGCCTATGTCTTCAATTGCACAGGACAGAACAAAATTGAAAGGCAGCTGAAAGTACATGGTGCTAGTGGTCGTAATGATTCAAAAGGTCAAAGATCACCGCTCTGTGGTTCCAGGTTCCGTGCCTCCCTTTGCTGACTCCGAGAAAGCTTCGGGAATCGGGCCGTCCCTCGTGGGCGATTGCTTTTGCCGGCAGATTCTCCCACAGGTTGAAAGTCTCTAGAAAAAACAAGGCACAAACCAGGTCATGTTAGTACACGGAACCGTGTTTTTTCCATCTCTCTCTCCCCACCCATGAGAAAAAATGATATTGTAACATATTCATAATCATAAATATATATGATTCACTCCCTGGGGCTACACTGCTTCTGCAGTTGACTAAAGAACTAATGAATTAATTACACAATATTTTTGCAAATAGGATACTATACAGTAAACAACTCTGTGACCTGAAGATTTGGAACAAGGAGTCTTTCTGTGTAATTTTTAAACGGACATATTATCTTGCCTGCCTTTGCTGACATCTGTGCATAACTCGCCCTAAGAACAGTCATGTATTTTGCTATACATAAAATATATAGGGGTACATAGCATACATGTAATTACTGGAATAGATTCACTCAGATTTCATGTAAGAATACTGATACTGCATTTTATTTTACTGCTGTTTTTATTTTTATTTTGTTTTGATTTTCTTGAAATTCACAATAAAAGTAATTAAAATATCCACATACATAAATATACTAGATTAGTTTACTGGATTAGCACTGCTTCTGCGGTGGACTTAGGAATGACTTAATTACTTACACAGAACATTGCTTGCAAATACAACACAATGTAATACAACAACTGCATGGCCTAAATTGTGGAGGTAACATTTTATAAATCAAAGGCAGCGGCAGACAATACAGGTGTTATTGTAATCTATTTGTTTTACAAGGAATGGATGATGCAAACGATGGACACATGTATTGATACATGGCAATGCATATTGGAAATGCGTCCCTCAGAGGAGCTTCACAGTCTATTCTGACCCACAAATAGACTGATGTCATGAATGAGTTGCTTAATTGTCTACCACGAACGATTATTGGAAAAGGCTGCTTACCTAGCTGCCATTCACAGGCTACGGATTCCTCGGAAAACTACAGTACAAAAGGAATAAGATTGTACTTTTCAGTGTTTTTCAGAGGACTCCACAAGGCTATTTAAGCACTGAGTAATCACACACACACACACACACACACACACACACACACACGGATGCTTTTCTGACCCTTTCTGTCTCCCCACCAGAGCAGGGGAGGCGCAATATAAAAGGCAAGCTCCATCGTGCAAAGCTTCTTCCCACCGTTTGCATCCATGTTCTTGTGTCGCCACGTCCAGGAGAGTCTGGACTCCAACATGGTGCTCAGAGTCACCGATGCACCGCCTGGTGTCCGCCAGGTGCCCTGATGCCTGGTTCTATTTCTTGAGGGGGTTTTTTATATTATTGTTGTCATTATTGTTTTGGAGTGGGAAGCAGAGGGCTCCCTCCTGCATCGTCTTAATTGGGTTCAATTGAGCGCTTGTTGCTTCGGTGCTCTGACCACCCCCTCTGCCTGTACTTAGGTTCTTGGACAAGTCAGGTTTCTTTTAGTCTTACTAGTTGCCTTTATGGAAAGGGATGGTTTCTGACTGGCCATGCCTACCTGGGAGCCCTTTTATGAAAGGGCGAACACCTGTGGAAGCCATTTTGTGAGGGCACCCACAACATACTCTCAAAATTCCAGATGTACACATGACTCAAAGAGGCTGGGGACCCCCAATTCTTCTTTGTAGCTCTCACAAAGAGGGAATGAGGTGCTAAGTCCATGTCTGGGATGGATTACAGGGAAAAGGAAGGTAAGATGCAGATCTTTAAGATCATTGCGTCTGTATTTATCACCTGCTGCTGGCTTTGCCACAGCTCTGAGACCCATGTCCTCACTCAGCCATGACACTCACTGGGTGATTTGGGGCCTCTGAGCCTAACCTAGCCCGCACGGCTCTTGTTATGTGGATAAAATGGAGCTGAGTAAGCCACCTTGGGTACTTGCGAGAAGCAAAAAAGGGACATAAATGCAAAATAATATTAATAATCATAATTCTCTTGCAGAAGCACTCGGAGAATCTAATCTATGATCATTCCAAATGCAGTGAATACACACATGAATTAAACACACAGTCTTGCATACAGCAAAGTAACATGTCAGGATGGGAGGTTCAGAAGAGAAACCTGACATGCAGGGAGTCATTTTAATAGATGAAGGAGCAGTCACTTATATAGGCTGTCCCCCTCCCCCTCACACACACACACACACTCCTCTGCTGTCTTGAGACGTTACAACCCAGGGCTGGGGCATGAGAGTAAGCCTAAATCTACAGCGGTGTGTCAGCAAGTAGGACATGAGCAAAAAAATCAAGAAATAACCCAGGAAATAAATAAATAAATAAATAATTTAGGAGGCACTTTCAGAGTTCATCAGATTCTTGAAGACACAACCATATACAGATAAGCATCAAGTATCCTAGAAGAGGCTGAATGGGTGGGTGAAGGCCAAAGGTGATGGGCAAGAACCCTATCCAGAGAGAGAAGTCAGATGGTCCTCTTCACTTGGCCATATTGCCAGCTTGATTAAGATATGCCTCACATCAGGCAAGTGAAGAAGGGGCTGGCCGAGTTGGGACTGAGAGCCAAGAAACCGCCCCAACTTCAGACGGGTCACAGGCCAGGTCAACATCCACTTGACCAGCCTTGGAGCACTGGGATGCGACTCTGTTCCACCTGGCCCAGTATCACCCAACCTGACTGGCAGGATCTCTCCAGAAACTCAGGGTGCGAAGGTCTGTCCTACCACCTGCAAACTGAGCCTTTGACTGGAGACCTTCCACGTGCAAAGCATGTGTCCTGCCACCAAGCTCCATTCCCTTTTTTGAGAACAACGATGCTTCGAGAAGGTGCCGCACCCTGTAGTGGCTCTTCAGAGTCATGTAGGCCACTCGCCATTCCGTGGCAAAGCGTGGCAGGACACCAAGCCCTGCACATCGCCGGAAGACGTACCAGGGGCACCTCTTCAGCTCAGGGGAGCCAGTTCCCAGGTGCAGCTCTCCCTGTGGCTTAAGCTTCCCACCTCTGCTTCCAACAGCAAAGAAAAAGGAAAGAAAAAAAAAGAACTTGGCCATTTTCAGGGAAGGAATTAATGTTCTATGGGACAACCTTAATCAGGTCGATTTTAACTAGCACTCACTACAGTACAGAGCATGGGGAGTTTTCCTCTCAAACAACCCTACAGACCATAAGTGCAGGAAATTCACATCCATCAACAGCACTTTTAAGTTCAAACCTCTTCCCTCTTTTGTAACAGCAAAGTTTACAAATTACCACTTTTATAGCTCTGGTTGGCTTTTAGATAAAAACTGGGACCGAAAAATACAACCTTCCTGGCAGCAGCTCGAGATAAATGGCTTTCAGAGCTCCTGTGCTGTTGCTGGTTCTCCTTGCCCCATAAAAGCACACACTCCATGAAAACACCACTGCTGCTGGTTGTGACTGTGTGGGGTGATCCGGGGCACAATCCAGCTAAGAGTGTGCTAGCAAGCCAGTGAGGCGGAGAGCTTCCGGAATGGGACTGGAACTCAGGAGATCCAGGTTCCAGGCCTTGCTCTGCTATGTCGGTGATTTCGGGCCTGTCTCTGACTCTTGGCTGCACTTGCATCACAGGGTTGCTGTGTGAATAAAATGGAGGGGAGAAAACAGATCACGGATGCCACTTGGAGGAAAAAATGAGGGGAAGAGAGGGAATAGATAAAACCTGCAGCTAAAATCTACAGCAGCCAAAGGAGCAGACACTGCGGCCTGGAGAGGCGGCCTCAGAGGGCTTGCTCGGTCCCTCTTTGCTGTGCTTTCCTAAACAGCATGGAGCTCCACCCTGTCCCAGGGCACCTTCCGTTTCAGGCCTGCTTTGGGCCTCCACAGCTGCAGCAAGCTGAGAGTTCCTGGTCTTTTTTCCACCTAAGCACGCATGAGGTTGTGCTTTTGGAGTGTGAGGAAAAAACTGCACACAGGAGGGAATACTCCCTGGTCAGGGGGAAGGGGAAGCTAAGGCAACGCATCCCTGCCTACACTTTTTCACAGGTAAGGAAAGGAAGGTAAGGTTTGAGGTGTCCTTGGCACTGTGTGCCCCCTCTTATACCTGCTGTGCCCCCTGCCTGGGGGCAGCAAATAGGTGGCCTGCTCTGGGCAGCAGGGAGCCGCCCGAAATGACGCTCCCAAGACCCCTACTTCAGGAGCAGAACGCCAGACCTGCCAGCTAAATCCAGCCCTCCAGACTGCCCAAGCGGGCTTGCTTCCCTGCTCCCAGGGTGGCCCCCCCTTTGTCGAACATCCTTCCCCATCTTCAAAGGCTGAATCCCCCCATTTACTAGTTACTGGAAGTCTGTGGATAAGCTGTGCTGGCGCTTGTGGTGTTTTGCCCTGTCCCTGCATCCCACTGGTTTGGCCCCCCACTCCTCCCCTAGTGGAATGTGGGAGCTGGGAACATCTCCGAAATTGAATTTAGCCCTCAGGCTGAAAGAAGATCAAGACCCCAAGGTTTATGGGGCTGGAAATGAGTTGCAGCAAGCCTTGGGGTGTATATCTCCCCCTTTCCATTGTAAGAGGAAGAAACTGAGCTCTTTGGCCTTCACTTTAAGAACAAGCCACAATTTTGCATTACATGCAGCCTGGAGTACTGTAGTCCATTCTAGTGAAAATTAAATCAAACAAGCCAGGATCAAAGCATGCTTTCAGATCCTAGTTTGTTCTGACTTCGATTAGAACTACTCATGTCTGACCCAGTCATATATGATGTGGAATGGTGGGGCGTTCTCCTTTTTTCCACCCATTCATGAATGGGCACAAAATTAGCCATGCCGCTTTCTCATTCAGCTCATAATTTAGATGACCACTGGCATCAAACTACTGCATGCAAAGAGAAGGAGCAATGCCTTCAGGGTGGCCTAGTGGTGAGAGTGTGGGACTGGGACCTTGGAGATCTGAGTTCTGGTCCCTGCTTGGCCGTGAAGCTCACGGGATGATTTTGGGCAGTCCTGACTCTCGACCTAACCGACCCCACAGGGATGTTGCAAGGATAATACAAAAGCGGGGGATTTTGCAAGATTTTGGAACACTTGCAGGAAAAGAGAGAGAGAAATATATT